CTGTTGGCTAGCTCCCCATGGGTCCCATGTGACCTAACGTTGCTAACCAGTCTACCAAGTGGAACCTTGTCGAAAGTCTTGCTGAAGTCCGTGTAGACAACGTCTACCACTCTGCCTTCATTTAATCTTCTTTGTGACGACTTCAGAAAAACTCAATCAAGTTAGTAAGACAAGATTTTCCACGCACAAAGCCATGTTGACTATCCCTAATCTGGTCCTTGCCTTTCCAAATGCTTGTAAATCCTGACTCTTAGCATCCCCTCCAACAACTTATCCACCACTGACATCAGGCTCACCAGTCTATAGTTCGCTGGCTCTTCCTTCCTACCTTTCTTAAATAATGGCACCACGTCGGCCAACCTCCAGTCTTCCAGCATCTTCTCCGTGGCTGTTGATGATACAGATATCTCTGCAAGGGGCCCAGAAAAGTTTTCCCTAGTTTCCCACAAATTTCTGGGATACACCTATTCAGGTACTGGGGATTTATCTACCTTTATGCAGCTCCTAGCAGCTCCTCTTCTGTACTATGGACACTTCTTAAGACATCACTATTTATTTTCCCAAGTTTCCTAGCTTATGTGTCCTTCTCCACAGTAAATACTTAACATTAGCCTTATGGTCGCTAATCAAATTGTGAATAGGATATCTGAACTCCGAGATATTTATGACTCTGGGGATCCATGCAACTGTGCAACATGGTAGTGCCCTAGAATGGTACAGTTGTCACCAGGTACATGATGCCCTTCTGCTCCCCACAGTTATGTGGGGATGAAGACCCAGTTCACTGGCAACACCTGCTGTTTGCTGATATTCAGCCCAAAAATTGACAGGAAGATCGCCATTTCTGGCTTCCTGTCCTCAAAATTTGTGCCTCAAAAGAAATCCATCCCCCTTCATGGGTCTTTGCTTTGCACCTGTCAAGATGCACACATTGACGCTGCAACTCCTCTATCACCTTTCATAGGAACACCTCCATCACTCTTTGCATGTCCAAGTTCTCTTTTGTTCCTCAGCCACCTGAGACCCTCCCACATCTGGAGTGTGTCCAGAAATAAAATGGTACTGTCCTCATCGTGGTGGTGGGCAGCTATCTGTCTTCCTTCACCAGCTGCCCTCCGTGCCATGATACCTTTGAGTTAAAAACAAAACCTTTTGGGCTGAGAGAGAGGGGGAAGAAATTTTATTTAAAAATCGGTAACAGATGACCAGCTCACTCTACTGGCAAAATGACTTTTGCTGAGGCGGGTGGAGACCCCCAAGCGAAATCTCTCCTCTTCTCCCTCCACCCCCATGGCCATGATCATAACCTTCAGGAACAGGACATATTGGCACCCTCCGGTCTCCCGCAACGTTTCCCTTTCTAGGTCTGAATGTTTCAGCCTTTTGGACTGATATGTTGGGCTCTTCCACCATTCACAACTGGGTGTAGCAGGAATGCAGATCTTAGATCTAATCTGTTGGTTGTGGGATTGCTTAGCTCTTTATCACTTGCTGCTTATGCTGTTTTTGGTCAGTGCAGACTTGATGGGTTGAAGGGCCTCTTTCCACACTGTAGGGATTCTCTGACACTTCTTGGGGTCCAGAGTCAATGTTAAGGATTTTGAGAGCTACTCCCTCCCAACTGTATACCAAAGAAGGTGGTATCCGGGATTTTATCTGTGAGGTATAATTCTGAAAGTATGACTACATCAGGCTGTTTCTTGACTAGTCTGTGAGACAGTGCTCCCAATTTTGGCACGAGCCCCCATACGTTAGTAAGGAGGACTTTGCAGGGTCGACAGGGCTGTTTCTGCCATTGTCATTTCTGGTACCTAGGTTAATGCTAGGTGGTCAGTCCCATTCCATTTCTTTGTTGAGATTTTGTTGTGATTAATACAACTGATTGGCTGGTTAGGCTGTTTTAGAGGGCAGTCGAGAGTCAGCCATGTTGCTGTTGGTCTGAAGTTACATGTAGGCCAGAGCAGTAGAGGATGGCAGATTTCCTTCCCTGAAGGACATTAGGAGCCAGATGGGTTTTCTGACAGTTGACAGTGGTTTCATGGTCATCAGTAAATTCTTAATTCCATCTGATATGGCAGAGATTTGAACCCGGGTGCCCAGAGCATTAGTTGAGTTTCTGGATTAGTAGTCTATCGGTAATACCATTAGCCGATTGCCTTTCCCTTTAACTGGAATTCCTTCCTTTGACAAATTTCAGGTATCACCCCACCCAAATTCACTGATTGGATGGGAACCAAAATTGGGATTTTAATGTCACACTGGGTTAAAGATTTGATTTAAAGGCCCTACCTCACTTGCTGCATATGGGTCATTTCTCTTCTTCCCCAACCCCATCGCCACCACCATAGTCCTCCTTGTTCATTTTGGACAGTTGGCTTTACACTGTGCAAAAACTTTTTAAAACTATATGTAAATATGCACATTTCAGTGTAACATACATGATTAATATTATAGGTAGGTGTATATCATGTAATCTTACCATATTATCAGGTACAATATTTAAGTAATCCTCACTAATAACTTAGTATTCTCTATGCTTGTGAAATTGGTTTATTCTACGGAATCACAACTCGATCCATTCCATTGCCTCATACTTTGGATTAATCCTTACTGATAAATTACTCCTAGAAATTGATAAAATCAACTTTTTTTTTAAAGAGTTATAACTTTTTTTTTCCATTTCTGGCTCCAACAGTACAATCTTAGCTTTATTTCCCTATGCAGCCATTATCCCCAGATCAGGACATGCTGATATTTATGCCTGACCTTTGCTCTTTTGTTAAGTGGAGAAATGTGTTCCTCCTGACTTCCCATTCTAGCTGTGCCTGGTTGCATGTGAGTTATGAATACTTTTAATGTGTACTTGTGCATCGAAAAAGCCAATTTCTGAATTGCTCAATTGTCAAGCACCAATATGATCCTGTCAGTGAAATTTCATTATACCATAATTTTTGCTTAGTGGTGTAAAACTTAAGTATTGCTGAAAAAAGACTTTTTGTCAAAGCCTTTTGTCTTGCACTTCTCAGGGCAATTCACCAGAATGCTCTTATAGAGTCATAGAGGTGTACAGCATGGAAACAGCCCATCTGGCCCAACTTGCCCATGCCGCCCAGTTTTCACAATTTAAACTAGTCCCATTTTCTTGCATTTGGTCCATATCCCTTCATAGCTATCCCATCCAAGTACCTGTCTGAATGTTTCTTAAATAACAAAATTGTATTTGCTTTCACCACTACCTCTGGCAGCCTGTTCCAGACACTCACCGTCCTCTGTGTGAAGAAATTGCCCGTCTGGACTCTTTTGTATCTCTCTCCTCTCACCTTAAACCCATACTCTCTCGTTTTAGACTCTCCTACCAAGGGGAAAAGCTGTCAGCTATCTACCTTACGTATACTTCTCTTGGTTTTACATATCTCCTATAAGGTCACCCTTCAGTCTCCAGGGGAAAAATGTCCCAGCCTATCTAAGCTCTCCTTTGACATTATTACCCCTAGGTTTCACAACTCCACTAGACTCTTTGCTGGCCTTTCACATTCTGTTCTGAAGAAGGGTCACTGGACTCAAAACATTAACTTTGCTTTCCCTCCACAGATGCTGCCAGACCTGCTAAGTTTCTCCAGCAATTGCTGTTTTTGTTTCAGACTTCCAGCATCCACAGTTCTTCGTGGAAGGTAGAACGTACAAGAATAAAACAAACATGAGGCCATCCAAAACTCTTGCAATGGGAAACTAACATTTATGCTGTGAGAGGAGAGTGCCTAACTCGCGACACAGTGTCCAGTAATAGAAATGATTCTGTGACTGGACAATATTGTAATGCGAACAAACTTAAATTGGTTATGAGTCTAAGTCAGGGCCACACTGTGACACACGTAGTTCATTGGAAGCTACATACTAACTCAGGCAGGGCCCTTATCTTTGCAGACAGGAAGGACATCTATACTCAACAAAATAAATGACAGTCATTCACTTCTTCATTTCTCAGGACAATGCCTTGAAAATTGGAGTTAACCTGCCTATCTTGAAATTAAACAAAACTTGGCAGTCATCATTAACTGGTGCATGATCCGTGACAACATCTCTACCAATCAGAATTCCCTTGCCAATGAATTAGCCCTCTCCTCTCGTACACTATAAATGCTGATTTTCCTTTCATTGGTTTTCTTGCGAACTGTCCTGATAAATGTGAGACAAAAAGCTTATATCATCATTCTTAAAATTTTGTGTAATAGTTTGAAAGTTTTTTTATAAAATCAATATTTATTGGGGTTAAATTTCTGTCACTTCCTTTTATTCATTAATGGGATGAGGGCATCGCTGGCTAGGCAGCATTTTTTATTGCCCATCCCTAATTAGCCAGAGGAAAGTTCAGAGTCAGCCACATTGCTGTGGGTCTGGAATCACATGTAGGCCGGACCAGGTAAGGATAGCAGTTTCCTTCCCTAAAGGACATTAGTGAACCAGATGGGTTTTTCCGGCAATCAACAATGGATTCACGCACATCATTAGATTCTTAATTCCAGCTCTTTTATTGGATTCAATTTCCACCATCTGCTGTAGGATTTGAACCCGGGTCCCCAGAATGTTATCTAGGTCTCTGGATTAACAGTCCAGCGATAATACCACTAGGCCATTGCCTCAGGTGTGAAAAAATGATTATTATTGATACAAAAGATTGATTTTGTTTTAGTCACGCCATTGATGAAATTAGTACAAAGCAGGCCAAAATGCCATTTTTGTTATTGGCTCCCATCTTACGAGAAAAGAATTAATGACTCTTTCAAAATAGAGCAAAATTTCATATGGGACTCCGAGAACAACAGTTTTGTCTTAAAGCAAGTCTAATGTGTGTTTTACAATGAAGTTAAGTAGTAAGTACTAGTGAATTATGAATATTTTCATAAAGTCCAGTTGTTATTCTGTTTAGAAATGTTTGACTAATATGTAGCTTTTCATTTATGGCTTATGATTAAATAAGGCCCTTTTGTTGGTTATTCTAGAGTACTGAGACCTCTGCGAATGGTGCGGAGTTTAGCTGCCATCCAGGGTCTGGCCATTATGGTGCAGGTAATCATCCAGTCAGTTTCTGACATGGCCAACATTATCTTCCTGCTCATCCTGATCACATTGGTGAGTACAAGTAAGTAACGTTAGCATCGGCACAGGTGCTACTCATAGTATGTCCCAAGGACCTCATACAGCACACATTCCCTTATCTAGAGCAACTGCTTTTCTAGAGTAACCTTTACAGGTGATATTTTGATATCTGCTGTTTTTTTAAAGAAAAAATCTGTGGTTTATTTGTTTTTTCTGATTGGGGGATTGTTAGGGCAAAAAGGTGGCTAATTGAGGCAAATGCAAGAAACCCATTTAGCTGAATTTCCTGTCTCTGTGGAGATGTTTGGAGGTGAAGGGTCTAGAAACATGGGGGAAATTGTCAGGCCAGCTCCCTGGCCCGTTTCTGCCTCAGAGAGAATTTCTCACACATGTGCCTGGAACAAAGTCAGCAATCTACTCCAAGAAGGTACAACAGCTTCTTAACTGGCCATGTCTAGAAAGATCACCAGCTTCCCATCGCATGTATTTCTGGGTTGCTGACCTGGAATTGGGGATCATAACCTAGCCAGCAAACATCAGCTCATTACTGGATGCTCAGACTAGAAGAGAGAGACCTGAAAATTGCACAGCAGCCAAAGCAATAAGATAACAGTAAAATGTGGTTACAATACTACAGCAACAAGAAGGCTGCAAGAGAACAGGTGAAAATCACAATATTTGTTTGAAACTGAATAAGTGCAAAATAATTTCAGAATGACTAAGGATTCAGCATGGTTGACATGAGGAAAATGCCCTCTCCAAACAAATGTATCACAAGTAAAATCAATAACATTTCTACAAATTGGCCACCTTTTCTCCCCGTGCAGATTTTGGAAAAGAAATGGTCCTCTTCAGCTCATCTTTAAAAATTGGCTTCACATCCACTTAGCACCACAACTGCTTGGTCCAATTTAACTTCTGGCCTTAGATATAAACGTTACTCTGTATTAGCTAATTGAATTAATACATCACCAGGGATAGATGATTATCCTAAAGCACTAAGACATGGTAAGAGATTTGTGAAATATTTATAATCAATATGGAAAGCCAGCGGCCACTGGGCCATGACAGAAAATGGGTTAATGTGATGTCTGTATTTTTTTTAAAATCTGACAAAACAGATGCAGGCACCTGCAGACCCATTCATTTTTGCTGGCAAGCCAGCATTTGTTGCCCATCCCCAGTTGCCCTTGAACTGGGTGGCTTGCCAGGCAGTTTTAGAGGGCAGTTAAGAGTCAACCACATGGCTGAGAGTCTGATAGACCAGACATCTACACCAGACTAGTTAAGAATTGCAGATTTCCTTCCCTAAAGGACATTAGCAAACCAAAAGGGACTTTATAACCATCAATGATAGTGATAGTTTCATGCTCACTTTTGCTAAAACTAGCTTTTTCTTACAGATTTATTGATTAAGTTCAAATTCCACCAGCTGCTGTAGTGCGATTTGTACCCTTGTCACCACTCCATTAGTCTGAACAACTGGATTGCTAGACCAGTGACAGAATCATTATGCCACCTCTATGCTTCCATTCTGCATGAAGTAATGGAATAAACTATCAACAGTAAAATTCATCTATATAAGCACATCCTAGTTATCAGTAACTGTCGTGGGTTTAGCATTGGAACTCCTGATTAACTAATTTTCTTGACTTGTTTTTAAGCAAGTAATAATGCGTGAATTTCAGCTTCCAAAAGGCTTTTAATTTGAAAGGCTGCAAATTTCAAAGCAGTGGAGATTCATGGTAATGCATTGAAATTGATAAATTTATTAGAGTGTTATGAGGAAATACCTAGGTGCTGTGACCAACACAATTGCAAAAATGACCAAACTAAGAGGGAAGTGAAATCAAAAGATGAAATTCAGGCATTACAGAAAATGAGATAAGGTCTGCATAAGAAGGAAAAGAGTAGCTTTTAACCGGTACAAAGGGAGCAAATCAACAGAGGCTCTAGTGGAGTATAAAAAAATACAGCCAGTATCTTAAGCAATTGGGAGAACAAAGAGGGGATATGAAAAACAGCACCTCATATTTCGCTTGGGAACCTTGCAGCCCAATGGTCTCAATGTGGACTTAACAAGCTTCAAAATCTCCCCACCCCGACCTCATCCCAAAACCAGCTCAGCTCGTCCCCGCCTCCTTGACCTGTCCGTCTTTTCTCCCACCTATCCGCTCCTCTCACCTCAACCCCCACCCCCACCTCCTACCTACCAGCCTCCTCCCTGCCTTAGACCTGTCCATCTTCCTTTGACTGACCAACCCCCATCCTAACTCCCCACCTACACTCTCACCTTTACTGGCTCCATCCCCACCTCCTTGACCTGTCTGTCCCCTCTCCACCTATCTGTTCCTTTATCCACCTTCCATCCACCTCCCCCTCTCTCTCTATTTATTTCAGAATCCCCTTCCCCTCCCCCATTTCTGAAGAAGGGTCCAGACCTGAAACGTCAACTTTCTGCTTCTCTGATGCTGCTTGGCCTGCTGCATTCATCCAGCTCTACACCTTGTTAACCCTATATGAAAAACATTGCTGGATAAGATTAAGGAGAATCCCAAGATATTCTATAGGTATATCAAGGGGAAGAGGATAACCAGGGACAGAGTTGTGCCCATTAGGGACAAAGTGGCAATCTGTGTGTGGAGTTGGAGGACATTGGTAGGGTGTTAATCAAGTACTTCACGTTGTCTTCATTTTGGAGAAAGAGGATGTCGGTACAGAATTCAGGAAGAGGGATTCTGAGGTTCTTGCGCAGTTTGACATGGGAATGAGGAGGTAATGAAGGTTTTAGTGTGCTTAAATGTGGTCACTTACCCAGGTCTAGGTGAGTTATATACCAAGCTGCCATGGAACACAATGAAGGAAGTTACAGGGGCTGTGACCTAAATTTTAAAACGCTGGCCACAGGAGAGATTCCAGAAGACTGGAGTACAACTAATCTGGTTCCACTTTTCAAGAAGGGTGGTAGAGATAAATTAGGAATTACAGACCAATTTGACGGCACGGTGGTTCAGTGGTTAGCACTGCTGCCCCACGGTGCCAGGGACCTGGGTTCAATTCCAACCTCGGCCAATTGTCTGTGTGGAGTTTGCATGTTCTCCCCGTGTCTGTATGGGTTTCCTCAGGGTACTCCGGTTTCCTCCCACAGTCCAAAGATGTGCAGGCTAGGTGGATTGGCCATGCTAAATTGCCCATAATGTAAATTAGGTGGGTTATAACGGGATGGGTCTGGGTGGGCTGCTCTGAGGGTCGGTGTGGACTTGTTGGGCTGAAGGGAGTGTTTCCACACTGTAGGGATTCTATGATGAAGTCTCACGTCAGTTCAGTATTGAGAACTACTGGAGAAAATTCTGAAGGAGGGAATTCATCTCCATTTGGAGTGGCTAGGTTCAATCAGAGATAGCATGGCTTTGTTACAGGGAGGTCATGCTTAACTAATTTGATTAAATTTTTTGAGGTAACTAGGTGTTTAGATGAGGGTAGTGCAGTTGATGTAGTTTATATGGATTTCAGCAAAGCCTTTGACAGTGTCCCACATGGGAGGCTAATAAAGAGGGTAAAAACATATAGTATCGATGGTAGGTTGGATCTAAATTAGCTTAGTGGTAGGAGACAGAGGGTTTTGGTAAAAGGCTGTTCATGAGACTGTAGGTTGGTGTCCAAAGGGGTACCACAGGAATCAGTGCTCGCCCCTTATTGTTTGTGTTATGTATAAATTATATAAAAGTAAACATGGAGGAAATGATGGTAAGTATGCTGGCAGATGACACAAAGATTGGCCAGGTCGTTGACAGTGAGGAAGAAGGTTTATAGGAGGATATATATGGGTTGGTCAGATGACCAGATCAGTGACACAGAGAATTTTAACCCTGGTGATAGGTATGAGGTGATACACTTCGGAAACAGTAACAAGATAAGGTAGTATTCAATGACTAGCAGGATATTAGGGAGCTCAGAGGAACAGGGATCTTGGAGGGCTTGTCCACAACCTCTCCTGCTGCCATCAGGAACTTAATAGGGCCATTAAGAAGGCATATAGGACACTTGCCTATATAAGTCGAGGTATAGATTATAAGAGCAGGGAGGTTATGTGAGAGTTGTACAAGACAGTAGTTAGGCCATAGCTGGAGCACTGTGCAGTTCTGGTAACCATATTATGATGTGATTGGACTGGAAGGGGTGCAGAAGAGTGTTGATGTTGCCTCAGATAGAGCAGTTTAGCTATAAGGAAAGGGTACATAAGCTTGCGTCCTTTTCTTTGGAGCAGAGAAGGCTAAGAAGGGAACCTGATTGAGGGGCATGGACAGGCTGGATAAAGAGCACTCATTCCCATAGTTGAACGGTCAATAACAAGGGGGCATAATTAAGGTGAAAGACAGAAGTTTAGAGGGGATTTGAGAAAATGTTTTCACCCAAAGTGTTGTCAGAATTTGGGATGACTGCCTAGGAAGGTAGTTGAGGTGGGAAATCTCAAACTTTAAAAAGTATTTGCGTGAGCACTTGAAATGTCATAACATTCAAGGCTATGGGCCAAGTGTTGGGAAGTGAGACTAGTGTAGATTTAAAGTGTTTTTGTAGATGCAGACTTGATGGACCAAAAGGCCTCATCTGTACTTTGATTCTTTGAATACGGCATGTTAAATTGCAGAACAATAGTAGATGCAACCTAATACAGACAAATTTAAGTGCTTCACTTGGGTCAGAAACCTAGGTGACACCTAAGTAGCTCCATGTTGAAATAGCAGATGATGAATTCAGGAGATCAAGACTCCTTAATAGATTCAATGCAAAAAAAAATGACCAATGAAGAACTATTATTAAGTGTCTGTAGGATTTGGAACAACATGGTCAAAGCAGTAGAATCTCAGATGGAAAACTTGATCAAACTGTAGAGCGCACTAGGCCTGCACTTTGAAAGACCCACAGAGAGACTCTGGTATTGAAGGCAGTACAGAAGAGTTGCACTACTGATCATCCAGTCATGTTATATGGAAAGACTGAAGAGCCTGAGGCTTCTCATCCAAGAAAAGAGGCATCTGAGAAATTTTCCAATATAGATATACGATTATAAAGGATATAGAAAATTTTAACTACCAGTATTACTTCAGACTAAATCAGCAAGAATTCAGCTATGAGAAAATACTTCGAGGTCAGATATCAACAAATTACTTTACATACAAAGTGATCGCCCTGTGGAATCTATGTCCTAGAAGCCTATTGGAGCCAAATCATTGGGATCATTTAAGGGACAAGTAGTTTCTACAAGGGTGAAGGGAAGTTGGATTTTTGAATGAATTATGATGGATTGAATGGCCTTCCTTATCTAAATATATAACAGTTCTACTTTGCAATACAACTGTATTTATAACACAGAAGAGGTGGCCGTTACTAACCCATATTGCAAGACTTCTGCATGTCCTCATGGTGACTCTAGGTGAAGCTAGACCTCACCACAGGTAAGAGCAGAACAAACCATGCTTTTGTTTAAAGAACCAGAGTTGAATTCTCAAATACAAAAGAGGTTTGTAATGGCAGAGAAACGAAAGGAATGGCAGCTTAACTTGTTGGCTTTTTCATAGTATCTGGGTTATCCCCATTTTAAATGTTGCCTGGATTGAGCGTGTTTTCTCGAACGTGTTAACATTTTCCAAGTTAGACAGCAATGTTATTAAGCACCATATCAACAGCAGTATCCATTGCTGAAATTCAATATGTTGTATTATATGGTCGAATAGCAGATTTTTTTTTTTTGTCCCAACTTTATTGATACTATTATGGTCAATCATCTTCTGAACTTTTGATCTTAGTTTGTCCCGCACATTCTTCCCTCTCCCTGAATCCCTACAGTGATGAAATTGTTACTTGGTGTACTTCCCTTGCTATAAACACCCTCCTTCTCAAAACATCGGAGCTCCTCAACTCCCTAAGTCTTCCTTCTTCCTGCAATCTTCAGGCTTTTAAAAGATATTATTAAGCCAAATTTAGTGCCTTTTGCCAAGGTAAGTTTGGTTTGGACATTTAGTTGGTTGGGTGAGGACCATGCACCTTCCTGACCTGTGGCCAACTGAGGCCCTTCAGTGGCCATTAATTGCTCACTTAAGGGCTTCATCACACCATTCGTGATGTGAAAAATGCAACTGGCAGTGAACTCAACATGCAGGGAGTATTACAAGCAGACTGGTGTGGGATTTTATTTTTTGTGGAGCCCTTCAGGAAGAGGAAGGGGAAGTGAGGGTATGAGAGGCTGTCTCTCGTTCAGTGTCACAATGCCTGATCGATGGAGCCAGTATCAGAAAGGAGGAAGTCCACTGAGAGCCAACTCCTGCCCTTGCTGCTGATCCCTCTCTTCCCACAATCTCAATCCCTTTTCTGCCATCGTCCACCTGTGGCCTGGAAACCGTGATGATCCTGTGCCTTTGGTGGGTGTCACACTCATCTCTAGTGATGTTGCTGTTCAGTACAGCTGCAGCCTCTGCTTGGCCAGCAGTTCCGTGTGGGCAGAACCTCTGCCCCCAGTATCTCTAATCCCAGGAAAGGTAATTCAAGGGGCCTTCCTCACAAAGGGCTTTGTAGAGATGTCACCAGCTCTCCAGTCAGCAGGTGCCATTCCCTTCACTTTCATTAAAGACCACCTTGGTTTCATCATAGCCTAAAAAGTTTTTCTAGACTTCAGTTATCTTAACAACACCTGTTTTACATCCCTGTCAAAGTTGAAAGTTCCACTTAAAGTGTTTGTACAATAACATATTCTAATGTAAGCCTCAAGCTATATCCACTTAATTTCACTGAACTCTTTACAACTGCTCAACACTGTGGCTATTAGTTAACTTGCTTTATCAATCTCTATATCTTTCCATTCAAGCTGCAGAAAATGAGATCTTTCCTTTTGCAGGTATTCGCTGTGTTTGGGGTGATCATATTTAGCACTGAAGTTCCAGAATCATTTGGGAGTTTGGAGAGAGCTATGTACTCGCTGTTTATCTGCATCACACAAGATGGATGGGTGCAAATTTATGAAGAATTTGTGTAAGTCTCTTTTTCTCCAGGCACGTTCCCAGGCTTCTGCTTGTATTTTTTTAAAACTTTGGGCAGAGGATTAATTGTAAAAACAGTTTTAGAAGAACAAGGAAAGCAGTTGCATAACAATATTTCATGTCCACATTCTCCTCCATTTTGACTTGCAGATGTATTGCAATGTGAGAATCTGGCATGGATGACAATTCAAAAGTTGCCAGCCTTTCATTATAGGCTGCAGCCCAAGGAGACTGTTAGCATTACCTCATTACTGTTCCACCAAAGGAGGATTTATACCTTATGCCACTTCCCTTGCTTTTCTCTGAGCTGTGCCAGTTCTAACCAGCCTAAGCCAGTGGCTGGAGCTCGGGTAACTTCAGTTTACAAGTTGCTGTTTTTATGTGTGAGCAGGCCCTGGGCATCCACACGTCATCAGAAGTCCTTCTGGTGAAGTATAGGTATTTTTAATCAGCCTGTTCAGGGATGTTATCACACTACCACTGTGCCACAAGAGCCCCTTGAAATGAGTTCAAACTGGTTCATTCTTTTCAAAGTCCATGGAATACTTTATTCAATTTTCTTTATCGTTGTCTTTCAACTATCTATCATTATTGCGCATTTATCCTGTACAAATGGTTTACGGTTTCTATGTATGATGCTCACATCTACACCTTTTTAACAGGCAGTGTGCTGTGCAAAAGTAGAAATCAGTCCTGCCTTTATAGAATTAACAAATTAGTTTGCTTTTCTGGTGGTGGAGTCTAGAATACATGACAAGTGGAAATTATTTCATTCCCAAGGCCAACTGTGGTCAGAATCTTCTCATTCTGCTACATAGACCAAGGACTGACCTGGACCTTCTAGTAGTTTCTAAAGACTATAAGATAAATGTGTTACAGATGTTGGAACATATTGTACTTAAATGTCCTGCTTATTTGGGACAACTCCCCACTAAACACTGCCACTGAGGAAAAAATTGTCACATTGATGTTTATAAAACTATCTTCTTTCCAGGCAAAAGGATGGAGCAATAATGTACTGGGGTGCACTGTACCTCTTCATCTTCATCATAGGAGCATCTTTTATCTGTGCAAACATTATGGTTGCCGCAGTGACTTCAAACCTGGAGCAAGCAATGTTAGAGCAAAAGGAAAAGAGGCATACACTGACTGATGATTCAACTCTATTGGCTGAGGTATGATGCACGCCAAGAAGGAATGATATCTACTGGTGCAGCACTAACATAGAATGCTTCTTTAGAGCTATAGTTCCTAGTGCAGGCTTCTGGGATCAAAATCTGTGTACACGTCCTGTGTCAAATATGATTAGCCATCTACCTTTATTTTCAAATGGACATATTTCTGAGTGCTAGGTACAAGCTTTTTTTCAAAATGGCAATATGGATTGCAGGTGTGGAAAATAGAAAAAATATCCAACTGCCCCATACAGGACACAGAAATTCTGATCAGGATTGAAAACTCCATTTCCAACCCTGATTGGGGGAAAAAAAAATCTCTCATATAGATTACTTGTGGATGTGTTAAGTCAGTAGCTTAAGCATATTGTTGCAAGAAAATTTATAGACTTCACCTTGCAAGTTTATTACTGCAATTGAATTTATTCCATTCCTCGTCACTGGTTTGCTTCACCTTGATTAGCTTGCATTGTTATATTATCGTCTAATGCTAGAGGACAGTGGGACAGTATTACTGATGAATTTTATCCTGCTCCTGTCATTGGGAGGGAAGAAGTTGTTAAATGAGGCAGTGCCTCCTGGTTAGGAGAAAGGTTGAGTCAATGGTGATCACAACCAAAGTAAAGTTGCCATTGTCCTGGTGAACAACGGGGCTGCTGTTTCATTAGAGAGAGATGACTGGTGGTGATTTAACTTGAGGGAGACCACACCTCGGGCAAGGGGGTTAGTTGAGAAGGAGAGTCCTTCATGGTAACCTCAGCTAGTGTAGGAATTGAACTCTGAACTCTGTGTTGGCATTGCTCTGCATTGCAAACAGTCTATCCAGCCGACTGACCCCTGAAAATCATAACCACCCTGAACTGTAACATGCAGCATCTGCACAGGTCAAACAGCAGCATCTATAGATATATGAACAGCTATATGACTTCTCTAAACAAACTGTCCCTAGGACAACGTACGTTTTACTAAAAAATGAACTAATCGGAACTCCAATCAGCCAGAAAGGATCATGGTGTTTGGTATGTTATGTGACTACTTCAGACACGCACTTATTTGAATGGTAACAGTCTTGGTGCCAAATCAAAAATTTGTGCTGTTTGATGTCAAAGGAATCTTTTAAAGTATGTACACTTTTATCAAGGTTTTGAGATGATCACTTCAAATTAATCACTAAAATTTGTTTCTTATTGTTGAAAGAGAAGCTGCATTTGTATGTTTGGATAGAATGTAACAGTAGTTTTAGTTGCTCTGTTTGCCTACAGTAGTAGGTGACTGATCACAATGAGGCAGCTAAGGGCTCTGAGTAGTGAGGTGTTGGTTTCTGCAGATTATTAATAGATGTTGCCAGTGATCTTTGACAATTTCTCAGCTCAGGATGTTGCCTCTGTTCACAGGAACTTGTTTACAGAAACAGAGATGATTGCTAAACCACCAATAACTTTGAATTTTCTGTTCACAGATATTTCAGCCAGTCTCATGCTTTTATCTTTTGACTGTTGATTGACAGTTGGACACTCAATCAGAGAAATATGCAGCCTTTGACCAATTTAAAGTTATCTTCTTGAGCTAACCACCTTGTCAGTGTTCTGGGCTGTTAACATTGGTTCGGACTTAGTGTCATTAAGGTTAATGAAACTTGCTTCTTTTACTATTTTGCAGTCAGGAATTGAGTTTCAGGTTGTAATTTTAATTAAATAGCAGTTATTCTGCTCTTTGACTTGTCTTTATTCAAAAATGATGGTCAGAACCATGTTGTCGGAGAGCAATTTATCTTCCAAAGTCTAAGAAGATATCATACAACTGACAAAGATCCTAATGAGCAAATTACATTCCCACTCCTGAGCACTGCAGTGTTACTAGATATTGCATCGACACAGGCACATTGCATTCCATAGGGAGCAATCAGTCACTTATTGAACAGTTATTTGCGCTAAGCATAAAGAAAACTAAAATGGTTTGAAATGGTAACTCAGTTATTCTTCAGAAAAAAGATCAATTTCCGTTTCCAGTTACCAACAGCAGCTTTTATTATAAAGTAATCACTAACATCATGCATTATTGAATAAGATGCACACTTCTGAATTTAGCATTCAAATCCACCTTAGTGACAACGTATTTCAGGGGATGTGATGGCCTAGTGGTATTATCGCTGGACTGTTAATCCAGATATCCAAGTAATGTTCTGGGTTTGAATCCCGCCATGGCAGATGGTGGAATTTGAATTCAGTAAAAATCTGGAATTAAGAGTCTTGTGATGACAATGAATCCATTATCAATTGTTGGGAAAATGGCATCTGGTTCGCTAATGTCCTTCAGGGGAAGAAGTTGCCATCCTTATCTGGCCTGGCCTACATGTGACTCCAGACCCACAGCAATGTGGTTTACTCTTAACTGCCATTTGGGCAATTAAGGATGGACTGTAAGTGCTGGCCTCGCCAGTGATGCCCTCATCCCATGAATGAATTTTTAAAAAAACTGGAATATACTCAAGCCCCAATATTCCTGGGGTCATCACAAAAGTTAAAGATTTAACCAAGTTACTCAGTTCCCAGTTTTCCTGTCTGATAAACTCGGGTTAACAGAAAATACTGACCAAGATTCTGTACTTTACAAGAAACTTCTGCTTTTTACAAAGAAATCTTTCTAATGACAGGCAAACAAACCTCTGAATTATCCACCTATAACTCTACTAGCTGGACCTGTAATCCCCTTCTTAGACCCCTGTGTATACAGACAAAAAACATGGATGTTATAGATGGCAAGAAAAATACAGGTAAAATGCAGCTCAGTAGCACCAGTCCACAGGATTCGATGAGACATCCTTCTGTTTTCTCCAGAAGTTATTCTGCTCTTCAAGTTTCTTATTCTTTCCAAGTTCTTTCAGTTCTTTACTGCAGACACAGGCCAATTTGTGCACTCGTTCAGTCTTTCAGTCACTGGTAAGAAGCAACAGCTTACAGCCAGTGGTTGGAGTGAATAGCTAGCTATCTTCCAGGTCTTGGTTACTTCACTGCAGAAAGAAGGTAGAATGGAGGCTTCTACCTCTCTTGTTCACTCGCTGTCTGTTCACCTGTCCAGGAACGAATCAGAAAGAATGTTGTTGTTGTCATGCAGACTACTCCTGGCCTTCACGATTGTTCCTGATTACATAAATCAATCAATACTGTCTCTGGGAGAAGCACATACCTGTGGTACTGTAGTGCCTTGAACATCCTCCCCTGCTGCTTAAACAAAGCAATACTGTAAACACAGCTCTCAATGAGTTCCAGTAAGCTGTTTTTAAAAGTGCAGCAACTCCTTCAACAGCCCTTGCTTTAAAGTAGTCCTTTTCCCATTCTTGATCCAAGATAGAGAAAAATAAAAAGGGGTTATAAATTTCATGGTAAATGACCAGTCATATAGACTGATGTGAGTGATAGTGTATTGTTGATATGAATTGACATGCTTAAACCAATTATTAACCAATGTTTTCATTTTTTTTGTATTGTATGTTGTTTTAATTTTAGATTTATCCTAGAGGTAATCATCCCTTTAACACTATGTTGTGAAATTCTTTATTTCAGTTGAAAGATGAGGGTGAATCAGGGCCTAAGATGCCCTTGATCCATGTGCAAGACTGTATCAGGCAGATTACCATGGCTCACAAACAGCAACCAATGAAGTACAGCTCTCTGGAGAATCTTAATCTTACAACATACGAGGAATTCTGTCTAGTGCTTGAAGCTATCCAGAGGAACATCCATTACTATAAGCAGATTCGCCTTGAGCTCAATAGGTGGATACTACTTCTGCAGTTTATAACATTCAGTGCAGGCAGCTATCACTACTTTATCCTGTACAACTTAGACTTTCAGTTCGACCAACGACAATGAAAGTTAGGCTGGACCTTCACTCTCAGGCAGGTGGTGCTAGTCAGGAGAAGCTCCCTAAGATGCATTCTTCATTCTGGGGAGTTTGTGTCTAGAATAGTGTCAGGCCTGCTGTTGAGTGCTGAAGGGTCTGTTTAAAAGGCACACCATGGTTTTCTCGGACGTTGACCATTTTCCATTAGGTTTTAACCCACCCCACCCACTTCTAATGCAACCTTCATGACTCCATGCCACCCATTCCCTTTACACAGCCCATGGGCCCTTATAGCCCCACATGAACATAATATAAACTCTGCCAACCCACTCAGTAACCCAAGCCCTTACACTCATCTTTTCAACTCATCCAATGTCCATCATGAACAGAACTCAGGAGGCATGTTGGACTTGGGGATTGAATAAAATAAAGGCCTAAATATCTATTACAGCCTTCACCATGTTTACAAAAAGTTCCCATTCATGAAAGCCTATTCAAATTTTTAAATGTCCTCAAGTTATTATGTCCTTATGAAAAAAACTATTCATTACTGCACATTAGTGACGCCTAATCTCTCAATAACTTTTTGAGCTGTTAATAAAAGTGAATTTATGACTCACAATAGAGATAATTATAGTTAGTGGAAAGCTTCGAGGCATTCATGATAAAACGATAGCCTTTGGGGTAATGTGAACAAACAGTAGCTTAACCAGCAGAACAGAACAGTGTCACAGGCATGCAGTTTCAATTTTCAAAGGTTCTGTGTTTAAATAACTTCACATCATGACCGTCTTACAGACCTTATCAGTCCTTCAAGAAATAATGTCTACTGTTTTTTCAAAAAAAAGTTTCCCACATTATGGATTTAAGCTCTTGCTACCGCATAAAATAAGTTGAACTCAGTGTAAGTTTAAATGGCCCTGCAGAGTTCAAGTTTTCCTCATGTGAGTCACACGACACTCCCTTCCCCAGTCAGCCAGAATTGAATGTCAGAAATCACGGCTCAACTTCCACACCCAGTCCTGCTCACCAGTTCTAAGTGCCCACGGGGTCTCCACAACTTTGAAAATCTGAATCTTCATGTCACCCTGTTCCACCAAATAATATACTCACTCTGACCCACTACAACCTGGGTATTGTCATTTACTACTTGCAGTGTAACTATCATTCTGACCCACTCCTCGCTAAGTTATTGTTATTGTAACTCAAATCATTTGAGTTATGGTCAACATCCCAACTGTCAGTATAAGTTAGGGGTATTCATTCCCCCAACCTACAGTGTAAATTACTATCACACAACCTTCCCCCCATCTCCAGTGCGAGTTACTAATGGTCTGACCTACCACAGCTGTCTCTGTAACCCACTCAGTACCTCCACCCACAGTGTAAGTTATATTCACTTACACTGACCTTATGTATTCCTACAGTGTGAATTATGGTCACTGTCCTGATCCACAGCATGAGTTACTTCTGGTGCATTTAATGATTATTTTGGTTTTCCTACTCAGCATTGTGAAAGAGCTAAGAGATCTCTTATTTAACCGTGAGCAACAGAAGCAGATTATGCATCATGAGAAAAGGATATTGGATATGACTGAAGCTCTACTCACCAATGATATGCCAACATTCAAAAAGAAAGAAATGCTCAGCAATATGATAATGGAAAAGGTGAAAATCTTAGCATCTCACAGTGCTCATTGTTTGTCTGTAGACCCAACAGAATTCTTCAGTCATGCACTTGGTTCACCTTGCTGCCAGCTGTTGTTTTATTGTTTGTATTTTCTTATTTGCAACAAATCTAGGCAAAACTGGGACAAGCACCCAATTGGTTGTCATTTCTAATATATATTTTATATTACAGAGACTCAGCTAGACCATCAGTTTATATAATGTGGCTACTAAGGCAGTTCAAAGTAATCTGTGGTGAATGACTCACCTCCTGACTCCCTAAAGCCTTTTTATCACCTATAAGGCACAAGACAGGACTGTGATTTAAATACTGTCCACATGGCTGATAGGGTTCAACAACAACAGCACGTGAGGTGTTTGGCAGTATCCAAAACAAAGCAGCCACTTGATCTTTTTATGATCTTGCCACTTCACACTTAAACTGTATTGGGGTGTTTGGTTTGATTAGCGTCTCATCCATTAATTTAACCTTCTCGTACCTGCCCACCTTGCCTTAAGTGTAGATATTTTTAATCAACTTGTTCATGTTATCACATGACGGAGACAGGTGGGACTTGAACCTGGATCTTCTCAACCAGAGGTAGGAAAACTCTACTGTTGTGCCACAATTATTCTTTCATGAGATGTGGGTATCACTAGACAGGCTGGCATTTAATTGTTCTTTAATTGAGTGGCCACTAAATAGTCAACCACATTGTTTGGCTTCAGCATATACTACTCACAGGCTGCACTACTGCCACTGAATAAGTATTTTTCATTAGAACCTCCCAGACTCATAACCTTAGTCACCTAGAAAAATAAAAGCAGCAGATGCATCATGGAATACTATCACATCCACATCAGACATCTAATTTAGATTTTTATCACCATTACAAAATTGTTGCTGGACCAAATCCTACCATCCGCATTGTCAGAGCACTTTACCACATGGACCATAGTGCTTCAAGAAGGCACATCACCACCTATTCAGTGCAACTAGGAAACAGTAATAAATGCCAGTCATGCCAGCAATGTCCACATCCTGAAAGTTAATTTTTAAAATAAGTTAAACCCTGAATTGACGTGTTTGGGAAAAGAACTCTTAGATATTCACCAGAACTTTGGCACAGAATCCGCTGAAGCATAGGGACTCAGTGCCCTGTCCATTAAGTTTGCTTTTTCCAGGGTTAAAATGAAAATCTAACAGAACCTTCTAGAAATTTGGGACTGTCGTCTTTTGTTGAGATTCTAAATCAAGACAGGTTAGGAAATATTAAAGATTCCTGAGTCTATTTGAAGAAGAGCAGGGGGTTTACTGATCTCCTGGCCAATATTCTCCCCTCAGCCAATACCACCAAAAAAACTATTAAGTGGCTGTTTTCACTTTGTTGTTTGATAGATCCCATTATCCACAAAGGCTCTGCCCTGGTAACCCACATGATAGCTATGTGCTTGAAAGTGATGCTTAGCATAACACAATAAATGATGAGTTATTCCCAAAAGTACAAGCATCTGCCATCAACATGATAGTACTCTGTGTTGCTGTCCATGTCGTATGTTTGAGGCACATGTGTCCAATGCATACAGGTCCTGATCTCCAGTCCTTTCCTTCAGATGAGAAGCTGTGTCAGTTCATAAGACCAAAAGACATAGGAGCAGAAAATAGGCCATTCGGCCCATCGAGTCTGCTCCGCCATTCAATCGTGGTTGATAAGTTCCTCTGAATTAACCAGTCAAATTCCACTTCTGAATGTTGTCCTGGGACAGAAAGTTATGCAGTAGCAGACAACTTCAGCCCATTCTTGGTGTATTTCTCAGATTCAGAATACACTAAACAAATAATGCATTTATCTAGAACTTTTCATATCTCAGGACATCTCAAAGTGCTTTACAGGAATGTAATCATTCTTTGGAATTGTAATTACTGTTATATGTGAATACATAGTTTCCAATATGTGAATATATAGTCTCCAATTCATGTACATGATCCCATAACTGTTAATGTCCAGCCTGGCATTTTTGGTCTTTGCAGTGGATTTTGAACCCAAGACCTCCAATTAAGAAGTAAAAGTGCTACCACCCTACCAATGCTGACATCTTAATGTACATGAGAGCAATGGGACAGAAACGGGAAATAATCTTAATGGTTAGCTGCTTCTGTATGTTACTTTATCTTTGTTTTAACATCAGGTACGACGGGTAAACAACAGCAATACAGTCAGCAGTGTATACTCAAGAGGGTCAGAAATTCCACAGACTTCATCGCACTTCATAAGACATGTGCCTGATAACTAGTTACTAGGCATCAAGCTCAGTGCACCATTTGTTGCACAAACACATTGAAGCCTCTGGTAAACTTGACACTGCAGTGTTGAGGAACAGTTCAGTGTCATTATGAAGGTATCGTTTCCAGGACAGAAATGAATGTGGTCAGAATAGATTGGAAGCATTCATTTGGCTGAAATGCAAAGGCAACTCAAGTCAGGATCTCTTCGTAAGGTGATGGATTGCAGGATGGTTGGAATGACTCAAGTTCTTTCCAAGTCCACAAGAGCAGTGCACAAGCCAATGTTTGGTAATGACATCTGATTCTGATTGTATTGGTCTTTGTCTGCTTCCTCAATCAGTTTCTTAACAGACACAAAAGAAGGGTGCTTCTGCCATCAAGCTGACAAGAATCTACAAGCAGGGACATTGCACTCAGTAGAAATGGATACTTGGGGAAGATGTAATACACATTCCTACTGGTGCCAGCATCCTGATAACAGAATCTCTGTCATGCTTATACCCCACCCATACAGCTGCAGATCAGCTTATTTTGGCCCAGGTCTTGAGCAACATGCTCTGGTAGGCAGCGAGCTGTAAAATTGCACACAAGCTGTGCAGTACGAGATGAAAGTTTCTATTCTGTACTGCACTAAGAGTGCATAATTATGCTTCATTGTAAATCAGATAGATGTGAAAATTAAAAACAGCAATATGTAGTGTTTTCAGTTGAATAATAATAATGTCTTTTTATTCTATTTATGATATGTAATGAGTAAACATTTTATTAAATACTTGCAGCGTTCATTGTTTTAATGTAATCCTCCTACCAAAAGTGAACTTCATGCTGGTGTTCATTTTCTTGCTCTTCAGCGCGAAATCAAAGGGAGTAAGGTAGTTTTCACATTTCTTAATGGCATATTGAAACAAATGCAACAAAATTATTTTGTTGAATAATGGTCTCCACTCCCTGAAGCTTTTAGCCACTTGTGATTGAAAGCGGGAGCTCACTGTTTTGGAGCTTCAAGCACAGTCCCACATTCATTTAATGTTAGATCAGTAGATTAGATTCAAACTTGTCTTGTTCTCCACAGATTTTTATCTCAATACTGTCCAGTACTGACTCATTGGGTAGAACATTGAAAGTAGTTTGCTTTCAGGAGTTAAGGCTACTTATGCATCCACGTCATGAATGCAGTACCATGCGATCATGCAGAAGATGGTCTCCTAATTGCTGTCTTCAGCATCCACCGTCCTAATTACATAGGCATATTGGTTCCTGCAGGCCTAATGAAAGGTAACCATAGTTGCTGAAAGTTGGCAGCAACATCAGGAGAGCTGGGCATTTCTCAGAGCAATGTAATATTGCAAAAATGAAGTCCAAAAGCAGTTGGGCGGAATGTGGAGGAAACCACTTAGGCTTTGTCGGTGGCAGGCATTTCCTTAATTCTCATGGCTGTATTATTGAGGAATGAAGCCTCTGGCCCTCCTCCCCTCCCCAAATCTGCCCCGTTTGAGGATATGCTCATTGGGAAGATCGGCCTTGCAGAAAGTAGAAATTTTTTTAAAAATCTCCTTATTCAGATGCATTAGTTAATTCTGTACTCCTGCACTGATTTGCGGACAGTTTTCCTTCCTTATGCTGTATTTATGGCTTAAGGTGCAGCTCTGCTTGTGTTTCATTTGTGGATGTTCCTATATGCAATATAGGAACTGCAAATACCCATGAATGAAATGGACACTTAAATTTTGGTCCACAATGACTAGATCAGATCTACTGTTCTCGGGGTCACTGGATGCTGTGGGTTTGGCAGCTGAATCATCCAACTGAAAAATCCTTGAACTAAATAGGAAGTGGAGAGAGGAAAACTGTTAATGGACTGAATTCTAACCGGGGACATTTGGGTATAAAAGTCGGAGGGAGAGTGTCTCTCCCTTTAACTAGATTGCTGTGCAGTAATTTTACAACCATGGAGCATTAATTTGTTTCAGGTGGTATTTACACTCCTATTAGGGAGAGAGTCCCACTTCAAAAAGCTGTTGACCAACCAAATCTGATCGTTCATCCCAGAAGTGCCACTCAGAGCAGTGTTCATTGCTGGAACTGCAGGTTGTCATTGAAGCCTATAGAATACAGACAAATATTAGGCTAGGGTCCCACCGAAGCCGGGAGGCTGGCAGGCTTTGTTGAAGGGTTTGTGTGCACTGGGCTTGGCAGGGCAGGTGGAAGGAGATGAACTTGGGAGCTTCCAGAAGAGGGCCTCCAGTGGGATAAGTAACAAAAAGACTAGAGACTTGGTGCCTGTCTTGCTGTGACAGGTCAAATCCCAGTGGGATGATGACTCTTCATTAGCAACATAAGGATCTTAGATGGCCCATGGGCAAACAGGCCACTGGATGCCCTTCCTGCTGTGGATATTTTACCCACAGGCTAAGTAAATGATAGCCCAGTGTTGTTGTCAAGACGCTATTTGATGCCATACCCTGCACCCAACCAACTGCCAACTCACCCATGATGGCTTTGAGCCAACATTTCAGGTCAATGAGAATACATAAGGAAGAAGACCACAGTATCAAAACTGCAGTACCTATTTGGGTGTGGTTCTGGAACATAAAACATTCCCGTAACTGAGTATTGGATATGAAAATATGGCTGACGTCACAGGTACACAAATCGCACCCCATGCCAAAGTGCAATGTTCTGCTGGCAAATTTCACTGCAAAATGGTCAGAACATCACATCAAGATGGAAAGGCAAGATTCTGTGTAAGAAATGGAACAGAGAAAGAGCTTTAAAGTTTGACTAACCTCTTGCTGTATCTGCAATGGAAGCATTTTTGATGGAATACTGTAGAGGACAACGTGCTGGCAAGCAGACGAGTCATAAGAATTGAGTGAACAACAGCCTAGGAGCAAAGACTCCTGAAATGTCTTTCCAGTTTTTTCCCCATTGTCTATAACCTATTTTACCCTGTCTGTTGTCTGTTTGTGTGCATGTAAGGGAATGTTTACAAGAGGATTAGAGTTTTAATTAACATGCTGACAGTTTATAACTGTATAGCTAGAGTCTAAGAAGTTGTAATAAATAGTGATTCTTGTTCAGTACAGAAACTTGGTCCAAACAACCTGGGTCTGAAGGGCAGGTAAATTGGGAGCTTAGTGTACTTTACAAAATCTTTGCCTTTTGAGATGACTCCAGAAATAACTGGGCTTGATTTCCAGTACAATATCCAGAGAGTCATAACATGTTTGTTGTGATTCTTCCAACTTTATTCCTGGTGCCCCTAAGTAACTATCCTTGGCCTCCTGATGTTTCTCAGGTACTATTGGCAATGAAATCATGTGAAGCACCTCTGTTTTCAGATGCATGCAAACAATACCCAGCTTTACCTTGCCATCAACTTTTTAAACCCCACTACTGTCTGTCTCTAAATTGTCAAACATTCTGACCAACATTCAGAATTGGACAAGGAGAAAATTATTCCGATATTGAGAAGATTCAATATTAAAATTGAGATTAAAGTTAAAGGGGGTGGGGGGCTTGGGGGGAAGGAACAGACAGCTCACCTGCCCACCCTGGAAGAAAAGTTAGTGAGCCAGCAGTCTGGCAGCTATACGGCATTGCTGAATTAAAGTGAAGGTACTATTTCTACTAAATGGAGGTAGTATTTTGGCATGGATAGAGAACTACCTCATGGGTAGGACACTGAGTGGGGATAAGGAGTTCTTTTTCAGGTTGGTGATCCACGACCAGTGGAGTTCCATGGGGATCAGTGCTGGGACCACAACTGTTTACAATATATATTCATGATTTAGAGGAAGGAAGTGAATGTTTGCAAATGACACGAAAATAGGTGGAAAGGCAGATTGTGAGAGAGATGAAAACAATTTATGAAAACAGTTAAGCTGTTTCAAGGTTTTCAGCCACAGAATCCTATTTTTTTTTATATTCTTCCTTTTCAAATATTTATCCAATAACGTTCAAAATATCTTTAGGTCTTTGTCCCATTAACATTTTGAATGAAAATATTTCCTGTAACTTCATCTCTGTTGTTCTATTGTGTATGTTTTGAGTCCAGAACTGTGGAGTGCAAGGAGAAAGAACTGTTTTAAAAACAGGGAATGCATTATTTCACAGTAAGGAATTTGTTTCCTGTTGTCAACTGTGTTTTTGTTGCTATGGGTTTTTGCAACGTGTAAGTTGATTACAAGTGAAGCTGATTGGTTCTCAGCTAACTGAGCAAGTTGGCACTAGCAATTAATTACAGAGATACGTACAAAGAAAAAGACACAGTAGAGTGTGCTGGTATTCTCCCCATCAGAAGTTGCCTACTCTCTGCAGTAAAAAAAAGCCTCAGTTTAAACCTGAAGAAAACCAATTACCTTTCCTACAGTAGTTGCTATAAGCTGGGACTTTTGAATTGATAAATCAGAAAGATTTTGCAAGTTAATCAATCATTCTCTACTTCTTACAAACCAATAGAAGCCTTCAGGAAAAAATAACTGAACATCAAGGGCCTGGCTAGCCAAAGAAAGGTCATTGTAACTTCAATATCGGAAAGCAAAGACCATTGAACTGACTATCCAGTTTTTTTACCTCAGCTAATAATCTATCTTCACTACTTGTTTGTCTGTGTATGTGTGTGTAAGGGGAATTTATAAGTGGATTAGAGTTTTAGTTAGTAGTGTTAAATGCCAATGGTTTGTATCAGTTTACTTGTAGTTGTATTCCAATTAATTATAATAAATAATAATTCTTGTTTAGTACAGAAACCAAGTGTGTACTTTCTATCAACCTTTGTCTGAAAGTCAGATAAATTGGAGTACAGTGCATACTTAATAAAAACAGTTGGTAAGTTTCTGAATAGGAGGGTTGATTTACAGTGTGTTACTGAAGTGGATTGTAACGTGATAATCCTTAGTCTGTGGCTTTGTTACTGATTCATCAAATGTTCTTTCATTATCTACCCCATCTCAAAATCTCCTGCTAATTTGAATACCTTAATTTCATTTATCTTACCTTTCATTATTTCACTTTATCAGTGTTTTTTCCATTCTATTTATTGCAGCAGAAGTTCTCCCAAACAATAACATGGTAGATTTGCCATGCATTGGCATTAGCCATTGTATCATTAGTTTTGTTTTACTGACATGCTGGAGTATATTGGTCTGTTGAGTTTAGAATGTCAGTAATAGCCTACCCTGTAACTGTAGAAATTTTGATACACGTTTTGGACTGAAGTTCAGCTACATTAAGGGAATAGATATTGATTGAAGCCAATATGAAATTGATCATGCAGTAAGATTTCCTTTCTAATGGTGACATTGTCCAAGGATAAAGATGCCCATCAGCTTGTTGGGCAGGAAGGAAGACATGATGCAGCAGGATGTGCACAACAGGGAGCAGTTCAATTTCTGTTGAGAATGGTAGTCATATTTCTACCTCCAATACTAATGTTTTCCTTTTCCTACAAAGCACAGATCTGGGACTAAGTTCTCCAACATAGAAAATCTTTAAAGGCAGATTAAGTTAATATCTGGAGTAAGTAATAGGACCCTTCCCCAAGAGTGCATTGGAGGGAAAATTGCAATTGCAACTCCCTTCAATGATTAGTGGAATAGGGAGATTCCCCTACCCATCATCTCAACATAGGCAGAAGTCATGAATAATCTTTCTTTTGCAGTGGGCAGATGTGATGAGTGGTATTACAGATTTTTTCCAATTGTTTCCTTTTATAAAATGTTCCACTTTCTCCCTGATCTTCCCCGGGATAAAGATCCATGGACATTGGCTGTTCCTTGTTACCTCATTCAAGTGGCCAAGTAAGAGTTCTGACAATAAACGCCAGCAGGATATTTGATTGTGGACAGTATCATATTTGAGTTTGATCCAACTACCTATCAACATCCATGCTCCCAACAGAGATCAATGAATACCAATTGCGACAGCACCCTGGTTAGAAAGAAATGTAATTACTTTTGTTGAAGTTCATTCTGAGCAGCTCCATAACACAGGACCCTGGGTTTTTTGAGCTGTTCTCAGGAATGCACACCAAAATAAACATAACTGTTTCTGGAAGGCCATCAAATGATGAAGGAAATGCTTTGGTCTGTCTGAAATATGGTGGTATTGCAATGTAATCAAACATCGCAAGCCAGGGCTGTGCTGAGCAAAACAAATAAGAGTTAGGACTACCATAGCAAAGGACAACCCACCCTAACATACAAGTTCATAATGTAGAACACCATACATGCCAGATGATGTTTGACATCAAATGTATATTATAAAGATAACATACACAGTAATCATAAGGATAGTGATTGTCATGTGCTATACTGAAAGACATAGCATTACACAAAATGCAGTAAGATGCAACTGTGATGTAATGCACCTTTGCAAAATTTTGTGAATAAGATATACGTTTTGAGAAAATAAAGAAGAAGGACTCCTGTTGAATGTTTCACTTGTAGCTTCTGACAAAATGAAACCAACTGGTTCAATTCATTTGTTATTTTAACTTGGAAGTTTAGCTGATAAACCCTGTGTTCTCATCTAGTTCAGCGCCTGGTTCATTCACTAGAAAACGTGCAAGTAGGCCTCCTTAGTGTCAATTTCGGTGCATTTCACTCATTGACTGAAGAAAGGCAAGACTCCTTGGGTCACTAGGGTTGCTAAACCTGGTTGCATACATGACTGGAGGTTCAATTCCCCCTTTTACTTGAGAAAGGATGTACTGGCACTGGAGGGGGTGCAAAGGAGGTTCACTAGGTTGATTCCGGAGTTGAGGGAGTTGGCTTATGAGGAGAGACTGAGTAGATTGGGATTATATTCATTGGAATTCAGAAGATTGAGGGGGGATCTTATAGAAACATATAAAATTATGAAGGGAATAGATAAGATAGAAGTAGAGAGGATGTTTCCACTAGCAGGTGAAGCTAGAACAAGAGGGCATAGCCTCAAGATTAGAGGGAGCAGATTTAGGACTGAACTGAGAAGGAATTTCTTCACCCAGAGGGTTGTTAATCTGTGGAATTCCTTGCCCAGTGAAGTAGTTGACGCTACTTCAGTAAACGCTTTTAAAAAAAAAGGTAGATTTTTTTTTGAACAATAAAGGAATTAAGGGATACGGTGAGAACGCGGGTAAGTGGATCTGAGTCCACGAAAGGATCAGCCATGATCTTATTGAATGGCGGAGCAGGCTCGAAGCGCCAGACGGCCTACTCCTGCTCCTAGTTCTTGTGTTCTTGTGTTCTTCACTGTACAGCCCCACCTTCTTCCCATTGGCTACATACACTTCATTACCTGTTGGATGATCCTCATCTGCCAATTACCCTCTTCTTTGCAAACAAGTTTTAAAACTGATGAACACTTGTTCAAAGAAATTTTTTAATGTCAAATGATTTTTTTTCATAGGTGTTTGCTCCCAAGAGTGAACAGAAATTAATCCTTTATTCTGGAAAACCTAAGGGCAACCTTATTCATCACAATTGATACATACCTAACTAGGACACTAATGCTCTTAGTTTAATGATAATGCCACACACAGTTGGGATTTAACATTTAATACATGCCTTAATCTATAGTAGCATATTAGAAATGAACAAGGCAAGCTGGTGCCCAATGATTTGATCTAGTAATCAACCTCATAGGGTCTTTTGGCGTTTTGTCCTGACTCTCTACATCTCTCAAATGTTGGGCAGGTGAAGCTCAGAGCGAGGGCTATTCCTCCAAAGATCTCAATGCAGCTTCCAGCCCAGCCAAAGTATAGGGAGCTCCCACTTTGGTAGCGGGTGTGGGTGTCAGGGCTGATTTCCTGCATGAAAGTCATGTAGAGAGTTAGTGGGGTGATACACAAAGATCCAGCCAAGATAATGACAACTCCACTAGCTCCAGCTACATTACGAAGGGGGAAGTCCATCCAGCAACGTATCCCAACACTGGCCACGATGATTCCCATTCCACACACCAGGAGGGAGCTCAGCATGAGGGCCCTGGACCACTGCACAATTTCATCCCTCTGATACACTGTGGTCACTGGCCAGCACTGTTTAGTGTCCTGCAGTTCTAGGCATGATTCCCACAGACCATCAGACTTCATGGCTATGTTTTTCCCCAGGTTAATAGACCCCTGGCGCCACTGTGGGGTTAACACAGCCACAAACACCAGGACCAGCCCAACAGGAGCACTGATAATCCCGATGATCATCGGTGATGGGGTCCGCATGTTGTGGATAATCAGGATCCAACCAGAACCTGCAAGGAGAAGCGACAAGATGTCAGTGCATATTGTGAAGAGCATTTGAACAAAGTGACCAGCTGCAAACTAGTAAATGGATGAGATTCTACTTTGACAAAAAAAAGGAGCATATTATTTAAATTGAGAAAGACTGCAGAACTCTACAGTAAAGACGGATCTGAGTGTCCTAGTACGGAGCTCATCATATGTTAATACGCAGATACATCAAGTGATTAGGAAGGCAGTTAGAATGTTGTATCTAATTGCAAGAGGAATGGAATGTAAAAACAGGGATTTTTGTTGAAGGTGTACAGATCTCTGGTTAGATGACATCTAGAGTACTGTGTATAGTTTTGGTCTCATTTAAGAACAATGTAAATGCAATGGAAGTTCACAGAAGATTCACTTGACTGATTCATGGAATTAGGGGGTTATCCTTTGAAGAAACGTTGGAGAGGCTGGACCTTTCTCCAGTGGAATTTAGAAGATGAGAGGTGATGTTTAATGTTTTAGCGAAGATCTGTAGCTCAGCTTGCAGTTGGAGTTGTCGGTATCCCAACTCCAGAGGTGATATTACTGAAACAAATAAGATCCCAAGGTGCTTTGACAGGGTGGATGCTTAAAGGACCCGCACCTTGTGGAAGAAACTAGAATAGGGGACAGTTTGAAAATATAGGCTCTCCCATCTAAGACAGAAACAAGCAGTTAATTTTTCTCTCAGAGATTTGAGAGTCAGGCTGAGGTTACCATGAAGGACTCTGCATCTCAATCTCTCCATTGCCTGAGGTATAGTAACTCTCGGAATAAACCACCACCTCTCTCTGTCTCTCACTCTCGCTCTCTCTCTTGCTCCCTCTCATGTCAGAACGGCCCTGTGTTTCGGTAGGGCTATGACACCTTTACCTTTAGACTATGAAATTAAGAATATATTCCATGTATTCAACATCAATAATACATTGTCCAATATGATTTGTCTAATCTATATGAAGATTAAAATCACTCACAATTAGCACAGTATCTTTCTTACAATCTCCTATTATTTCTTGATTTAAAGTCTGATATACAGTGTACCCATTATTAAAGGCCTGCAAACTATTCTAACCGGTGTGTATTTTCTTTGACACTTCTTATATCAACTGAAATGGGCGATGATCACGTCCCACCAGAGTACTGATCTCATCCTTTAGTAACAGAGCTACCTCATCTCATTTTTTTCCATTTCCTATTTTCTAGTCCTCTAGAATGTAAAATATCCTTAAACATTCAGTACATCAAATATTTGGCACCTGGCCTCAGACACCTTGTAATAACTTCTCTATAATGACTGTCATATTGTTTATTTCTATTTGTGAAATCATTCATCTACCTCTACATTTCATTCTGATAAATTCCTTTTACCATTTTCCTCTACTCTGACCAGATCTTTGATATACTGTTGCATCTTTATGCCCTCTCCCTCTTGTCATACTCAAGTTATCTTTGCCATCATAATGTTACCTTGCCCTATTGCTTTGTCCTTTTTCTCCAATTTCCCCTTAGACTTAGGCATTCATCAGGACTTAGCTCTCAGCACGTTTCAATTGAAACCTGGCCCAACAAAAAATTTCCTCTTTTCAAGATTAAAAACAAAATAGTGCTGATGTGAGAAATCTGAAATAGAAACTGCTAGAGAAACTCAGCAACTCTTGCAGCATCCGTGGAAAGATAAATTTTGAGTCCTATATGACTTTTGTTTAGAATTCTTCTTCAGTTCTGAAGATGAGTGATTTTGGCCTTGAACCAGTAACTATTACTCTGTCTCTCTCTTTCTCTCCCCAGATTTTTCCAGGCATATAAGTTTCTCCATCATTTTCAATTTTTATTTTTATCTCTCTTTCAAAGTACTGATCTGTCAGTCCACATTAATTGGAAACTATTTGTCCCACACCAATCTTTAAGGCACACATTCAACTATCTGATTTTATTAACCCTTTACCAATTTGCTCATGGCTAGGAAGTAATCCATATATTATTAACTTTGCTTTCTAACTAAGCCCCGGCTGCTCATAACACCTCAACATAACATCTTCCTTAATTTTACCTATGTAGTTAGTGAGAAAGTGGAACACGACAGCTGGATTTTCCCCTCCCTCTCCAAGTTTCTCCCCACAGCCAAGGAGATGTCCCTAACTGTAGAATCAGACAGACTAGTTTCAAAAGAAAACAATGTCAAATTCACCAGTCATCTTTTTTTATTCACTCACAGGATGAGGGTGTCGCTGGCTAGGCTAACATTTATTTTCCGTCCCTAATTGCTCAGATGGCAGTTAAGAGTCAACCACATTGCTGTGGGTCTGGAGTCACATTGTAGACCAGACTAGGTAAGGATGACAGTTTCCTTCCCTAAAGGACATTGGTGAACCAGATGTGTTTTTCCAACGACCGACAATGGATTCATGATCATCATTAGACTTTTAATTCCAGATGTTTACTGAATTCAAACTCCACAAAGTGCCACAATGGGATTCAACTCAGAATTCCAGAACATTAACTGGGTCTCTGGATGGACAGTCCAGCAATAATTCAACTAATTAATGCCTTGAGATTTCAACTCTGAGATCTAGCTGTCTCTCACTCCATCTCTCAGACAACTCTTGTCATGTAAAAGACCGGAACAACACCTGTTTCCTTATTCACCAAATTCAAAAATTAAGCTATAATCAATAAGCTGACCTTCTGCAAAGCTGGATGGTCTCTGTGCCTATTTATTTCATGTATTAACAAAAGACTTCTGTAACTATTTTCCCATTTGCAGTACCATGGCAATCCAACTGCCCCAGGCCCAGGAGCAGGGGATCTTAAGAGCCAACATCAGCAACAAGAAAAATAGAAACAACAAAAACAAGATACATTTATATAGCATCTCTAATGTAAGAAAATATCCTCAGGTGTTTTGAAACTCAACAGAAACCACCAGACATTTTCAAACCTCACTGGAAGGGCTTCAAACAAAGGAACAAAGAGATTGCAGGGATAATTAAATCATACAGTGGACAAAATGATTGAGTCTAGCATCGAACAAAGTGACTATTAAGAATCTGGACAAGTAGGGGAGTCTATCAACAAACAAGATCAATAAGAGAGGCAATTATAGATGAGCAACAATTGCTAGCCTTGTCAGTGTAACATATATCCATAAATAAATTAAAACATGGATGATTTGAACATAGAATAGTTTCTTTCCCTTGAAAAGTTTTCACCCTCAGGTATTTATCCACCTCTCTTTGAAAGAGATACTAAAAAACTTATTTCCAGTGTCCTTTCATGCCAAACATTCCAACTCCTAATTACAGGAAACAGTTTCTCTTTTTTTAATTCCATGTAAACTCTTCATAATCTCTGACAGAAAATCTTCTTCGACTTCTCTGCTCTGTGCTGAACAATCTCAGCTTTTCATATCTATTCAAGTACTGGAGAGCTTTAATCCCTGGAACTATTCTTGTAATAACATTTTTGTTTGATAAATTCCATGAAGTGTACTCTGTCTCAATTGAGACGGTAACTTCAGTTCCTTCATCCAGATTGTTAATATATAACATGAATTATTGTAGTCTGAACACTGACCCCCCCTGCAGAACCTCATTAGTCATCGGCTGCCATCTTGAAAAAGACCCGTTTATCCCTGCTCTGTTTTCTGCCAGTCAGCCAATCCTCTATCCCTGCCAGTACCTTGCCTTAATACCAGGGGCTGTTATTTAGCAGCTTTCCATGTGACATCTTGGCAAAGGCCTTCTGGAAATCCAAATAGATCATGTCCACTGGCTCTCCTTTGTCGAACTTGCTTGTTACCTCCTCAAAGAATTCAAACAGATTTGTCAGGCATGACCTCCCCTTGATGAAGCCGTGTTGACTTAGCCCTGTTTTACCATGCAATTCCAAGTACTCCACAATCTCATCCTTAGTAATGAACTCTAAAATTTTAACAACGACCGAGATCAGGCTAACCAGGCTATAGTTTCCTGTCTTCTGCCTTCCTCCCTCCTCAAAATTGGGGTGTTACATTAGCTATTTTCGAGTCCTCCGGGTCATTTCCTGACTCCAGTGGTTCCTGAAATGTCACCACCAATGCTTCTACAATCTCTTCAGCTATCTCCTTCAGAACTCTAGAGTGCAATCTATCTGGTCTGGGTGATTTATCCACCTTCAGACCTTTCAGCTTCCTCAACACCTCCTTTTAGTGCATTTAGTGCCTAAATTTATAGAGGATGGGGCTGAAAGATAGTTAAACTCAAATACCTGACTCAAATATTAAATCAAAACATGAGTTTCACTACCTAAAAGATAAGGTGCTAGTGAAAAATGGAAACCATCTTAACACCAACCAATGCAGAACAGGCATTAATCCATCAGGTGATAGTTACATTTGAGTATCATAATGATATTTTATGAATGGCTCACAAAATTCCAACAGCAAGTCACCTAAGTATTCTGAAATGCGGGCTCAAATATTACAAGATATTATTGGCCAGAATTAAATAAATACACGGTTAGATTTTGCCAGATATTCCAGTATATGCTAGGTAATAGAGAAACCCTAACCATCAACTAAACCTGTGTCTTTAATTCCAGCACCATCCTTTCAAAGAACAGTTTGACAGTTTCTTAAGAGATTTGTAGAATGCCGACTTAAAACCAGGAATAGTAATCGATATATTTTATCAATTATGGATCTTTCAATCAAATTTCCTCAAGCAATGCCTTTAGGAAAAGAATTACAGCAAAAATTATAGTGGAGAAGTTAGTTCAATTTATTAAACATATGGTTTTTCCAAAGAAATACAATCAGATAAAGATTTAAGTACAAATATTTAAAGAAATAATGGACAGTTTGAGAATAAAATGACTTAAATCTTCAGCTTATCATCCACAATCTCAAGAATCACTGGCATCAAAATTTTAAGACCATGATTAGAGGTTATTCTCAAGAATGCCATAATGATTACAATAAAGGAATTCTCTAGTTATTGTTTGTGAGGTG